TAAGAAAGAAATGGAGGAGATTCTGAAAATAATAAAGAAAAGTGATTATGACGTTGTAGAGCAACTGGGGCAAACCCCCTCGAAGATCTCCATGTTAGCATTGCTGCTTTGTTTGGAGGCTCATGCCAAAGCTTTGATAAGGTTTTTGAAGACAGCCCATGTTCCCCAGGAAACCTCAGCCGATGAATTCCAGGATTGTGTAGCCAGCCTTACCGCCGACAACGGCCTGGGTTTCTCTGATGCTGACCTGACTCCGAAAGGAAGAAAGCACAATGACGCATTGCATGTGTCTGTTGAATGCCGAGGAACCACTCTCGCCCATGTTTTGGTCGACACTGGTTCTTCTCTAAACGTGCTACCTAAGAAAGCTCTGGACCGGTTGGACTGTGAAGGCTTGGAGCTGAAACCAAGTAATATCATTGTCAGGGCCTTTGACGGGTCTAAAAGAATGGTACATGGGGAGGTCGACATTCCCATCAAGGTAGGCACTGAAGTGTTCCATTCAACTTTCTATATGATGGACATCCGTCCGTCATACTCTTGCTTGCTAGGAAGACCATGGATACATAATGTTGGGGCAGTCACTTCCTCCCTACATCAGATGCTGAAATACCCTGTCAAAGGAAAAATCATAATTGTACACAGTGAAGAGGAATATATGATCAGTCACCTGAACTCATTTCGGTATGTGGAAGTGGAGGGCGAATTCAGTGAAACACCGTTCCAACACTTTGAGGAAATTGCTCCCGAGGTTGCGGTAGCAAAGGCAGTGGCTGAGGTACCCAAGAAGGTGGCCATGATGGCATCTCTGAAAGACGCAAAGGCTGCAATGAAGGAGGGGAAGAGCTCAACATGGGGTCAGTTACCTGACTTTCCCCACAAGACAGACAAGTTTGGGTTGGGATTTACCGCTACTGGGCAAAAAGCTATGCGTCGCTCAAAAATTGAAAGGACACCCATCAATATCTCTCCTCATGGAATCAATGCTTTGGAAGACGAAGACGAAGAGGCCAACATTGAAGATTGGATATTCCCAACCATCGAAGGGGGACTACACAACTGAGAGGCGAAAGACTTCGTCCCCATTACTTTCATTAATCAGTAACTTATCTTTTGAACATTTCCTGTTGGTCTGTAATAATTACTTTTAAACAATCTGCACACTACTTTTTCACCTCATGCCTTTCCCGGGGCATGCAGGTCCATTTGTAAGGGTTTTGATTCTCTTCATATTCATATGCCATGTTTAATGATTCATTGGATGTTTTTCATTTATAAACTGTTGTGTTCATTTTCTTTCCTTTTGCATTTTTGTTTGTTTAAGGATGGCTATCCCTTACACACACCCACACTCACAAATGCAGGTACCCATCCACTCTGGATTCTATGGGTGACTATTCTGCTGTATCCTTCAATAACTCTAAAGATTTGGTCAACCAGGCTGAATACGAAGATGATGAAGATTGTGAAGTACCAGGAGAGATAGCCAGACTTCTACTACAAGAAGAGAGGGCCATCTTGCCTCATAAAGAGTTGTTGGAAACAGTCAACTTAGGAACAGAGGAAGACCGAAAGGAGGTACAAGTGGGTGCCAATCTGGAACCAAGTGTCAAGGAACGCTTGATACAGCTGTTGAATGAATACGTTGAAATCTTCGCCTGGTCTTATGAAGACATGCCGGGTTTAGACACAGATATAGTGGTCCACCGTCTCCCTACAAGAGAGGATTGTCCACCGATCAAGCAAAAAGTCCGCCGAATGAGGCCCGACATGTCTGAAAAGATTAAAGAGGAAGTAATGAAGCAATTCAACGCTGGTTTTCTGGCTGTTACATCCTATCCATAGTGGGTTGCTAACATCGTGCCAGTACCTAAAAAAGACGGCAAGGTCAGAATGTGTGTGGACTACCGGGATTTGAATAGGGCCAGCCCTAAAGATGATTTTCCGCTACCGCATATCGACATTTTGATTGACAACACAGCTCAGCACAAAGTGTTTTCCTTCATGGATGGATTCTCGGGCTACAACCAGATTAAAATGGCCCCCGAGGACATGGACAAAACAACCTTTGTTACACAATGGGGTACTTTCTGTTACAAGGTGATGCCGTTCGGACTGAAGAACGCAGGGGAAACTTATCAGCGCGCGATGGTAGCTTTGTTTCATGATATGATACATCATGAGATCGAAGTTTACGTAGACGACATGATAGCTCGATCACAAACAGAGGAGGAGCACCTTGAACATTTGCAAAAGCTGTTTGCCAGGTTGAAGGAGTACAAACTCAGGCTGAATCCAAGTAAGTGCACTTTTGGAGTTAGGTCTGGTAAACTTCTAGGATTTATTGTCAGCAACAAAGGCATTAAGGTCGATCCAGCAAAAGTAAATGCTATACAAGAAATGCCTGCCCCCCGTACTGAAAAGGAGGTTAGAGGGTTCTTGGGGCGCTTGAACTATATTGCCAGATTCATCTCTCATTTGACGTCTACCTGTGAGCCAATTTTCAAACTATTGAAGAAAGATCAGGTAGTCGAATGGAACGACGATTGCCAAATTGCTTTTGATAAGATCAAGGAGTACTTGCTAGAACCTCCTATTCTGATGCCACCCGTCGAAGGAAGGTCGCTGATCATGTATCTGACCATTTTGGATAACTCAATGGGGTGTGTACTGGGCCAGCATGACGAGTCTGGTCGAAAAGAGCATGCCATTTATTACCTTAGAAAAAAGTTTACCGACTGTGAGACTCGCTACTCACTGCTCGAGAAAACTTGTTGCGCTTTGGTATGGGCTGCTCGCCGACTAAGACAGTATATGTTGATTCATACAAATCTGTTGATTTCCAAAATGGATCCTATCAAGTATATCTTCGAGAAGCCTGCTCTATCTGGAAGAATCGCTAGATGGCAAATGATCCTGACTGAGTATGACATCCAGTATACTACCCAAAAAGCTATAAAGGGGAGTGTACTAGCTGACCATCTAGCTCATCAAGCTATCGAAGATTATCAGTCCATGAGATTCGACTTCCCGGACGAGGACATCATGAATTTGGACAACATTAAAGGTAACGGACCGTATGACGGACCTGAAAAAGGATCCCGATGGACCCTGTACTTTGATGGTGCTTCAAATGCACTTGGAAACGGTATCGGTGCGGTACTCATTTCCCCAGAAGGTTGCCATACACCTTTCACGGCCCGACTTTGCTTCAGCTGTACCAACAACATGGCTGAATATGAAGCCTGGATTTTTGGTCTCAAGGCTGCTATAGACCTGGGGATCAAATCTTTGATCGTATTTGGGGATTCGGCTTTGGTTATCAGTTAAATCAAAGGAGAGTGGGATACCAAGCATCCTAATCTTATCCCATACAAAGAACATGTCCTGACATTGCTGCCTCATTTCGAGCAAATCACCTTCGAGCATTTCCCGCGAGAAGAGAATCAGCTAGCAAATGCTCTGGCAACAATGTCCTCCATGTTTAAACTCAACTGGGATAACGAGGCTCCCCGAATCACCATCGAGCGAATGGATGAACCTGCGCATTGTCATGAGATTAATACCGAAGAAGTAGTGGAACAACCTTGGTTTCACGAAATCAAAAGGTATCTCCAGACTAGAGAATATCCCGAAGGAGCTTCCGTAAATGACAAAAAGTTCCTAAGGAAATTTGCTGCCAAGTTCTTCCTGAGCAACGGCATCCTCTATAAACGCAGCCATGATTGTGTTTTACTCCGATGTGTAGACAAAGCTGAAGCAGAGTTAATCATGACTGAGATACACAGCGGTACGTTTGGCACCCACTTGAGTGGGCATACGATGGCTAAGAAGATTCTAAGGGCAGGCTATTACTGGTCTACCATGGAAGAAGATTGCCATCAACATTCCCGTACTTGCCACAAATGTCAAGTCTATGCTGACAAGATTCATATTCCTCTTGTTCCTCTCAATGTTCTGACAGCTCCTTGGCCATTCGCAATGTGGGGCATTGACATGATTGGAGAGATCAAGCCCACAGCGTCCAATGGACATCGATTCATCCTGGTTGCTATTGACTATTTCACCAAATGGGTCGAAGCAGCTTCCTTCTCACTACAAGAAAATTAGGATTTTACGACACAAAAATTGCGACAGTTACTTAATAACCGTCGTAATTCTAATATAGGGACCCATGTCACGACGGTATACACCTACCGCCCTAAAATGAATGTTGCGACGGTTAAGAAACCGTCCTAAAATAGACATCACGACGGTAAAACAACCGTCGCCCCCCTAAACCTTTAAAAAACATGCAAAAGTTATGAAAGGGCACGACGGTAACCACACCCGTCGTCCCCCTAAATCCTTTACCCCGCTTCGTCTATTACGCTTTACTGCAATTTAAACCCAACTATTTCAAACCCAATAACACCGAACTTCACTCCATCATTTCCTGCATCACCTTCACCCCCCATGTTACTTACCGTGTTCTTTCAGACCCTATTCTCCAACCGCATTCCTGTTTATCCTTTTTCCACTTCCTCAAAACCCATCATTCCAACCATTCACTCAAACCTGACCTCAAGGCCCATTTGATTCTCTTTTCTAGACTCTTTAAAGCTCGCAAATTCGCCACCATCAAGACTATTCTGAATTCCGTTGTTACTGATTCCCAATTTCGCTCCCCAGTTTCGGGGATCGTTGATTTGCTTGATGAATTTGAGTTTAATTTTGTTGACAAGCTTTGTGATATGTTGTTTAGGGTTTGTTCTGATAATAGGTTGTTTCCAGAGGCGGTTAGGGTTTTTGATTATGTGGAGGAAAAGGGGTTCGTGATAGAGGAGAGGTCTTGTTTTGTGCTTTTGCTTGCTTTGAAGAGATGTGGTGAGATTGAGTTGTGTCTTAGATTCTTCCGCCGGATGGTTGAGTCTAATGGAATTGAAATTAGGGTTTAGTCTTTGACACTTGTGATTGATGGCTTGTGTAAGAGAGGAGAGGTTGAGAAAGCTAAGGAGTTGATGGATGAGATGGTCACTAAAAGCATTGTGAAATCGACTGTGTTTACTTACAATACGTTGTTGAATGCGTATGTTGGAAGAAAGGATCGAAGTGGAGTTGGTGAGATACTGAGGTTGATGGAGAAGGAGCCGGTTGTTTTTAGTGTGGCGACTTATAGTATTTTGATTCAGTGGTATTCTAGTTCTGGTGATATTGGGGAAGTGGAGAAGATATTCGAGGAAATGCGTGAAAGAAAAATAGAAATTGATGTTTATGTTTATTCGTCCATGATAAGTTGGAACTGTAGGTTGGGAAATATGAAAAGGGCATTTGCGTTGTTTGATGAGATGGCTCAGAGAAATGTTGCTCCTAATGCACATACTTACGGCGCGTTGATTGGTGGTGTGTGTAAGGCTGGTCAAATGGAAGCTGCGGAAATCTTGTTGGAAGAGATGCAAAGTAAGGGAATTGACCTAAATATGATAATATTTAACACGATGATAGATGGCTACTGCAAAAGAGGAATGATGGATGAAGCTTTGAGGCTGCAAACGATCATGGAAAGGAAAGGATTCAATGCAGATGTGTTTACATTCAACATTCTTGCAAATGGGCTATGTAAATTGCATAGGTATGACGAAGCCAAGTGTACTTTAAATTCAATGGTAGACACTTCAGGCACTTCATTAGGGTCAAAATATATGTTAGACACTTCAGGCACATATTCTTTCTTCATTTGTTGATAGCTCTTCCTACACCTGAGTATGTTACAACAACAACCATTGTTAGGAATCATATTCCATAAATAAATGACTTAGATTTAATGCATGTTTCATTAAGTTGGTTATGGGCAGAAAGAAATTTGTTTCTTTGAAAGAACTTAGCTCTTGGCAGTAGGATTACTAATTCCTATGTAGTTTCTACATTTTGTAATATTATACACTTGTTCATTATTCAATTGTTCTCTCTTCAATTAATCTTTACTGCTAAATCTATTTCTTTAGCTTCAGATTCTAATCTATCTTGCTGTGCTGAAGTTTTTATATCAAACAATATTTTGCTATTTTTATCTTTCCAATTTGTAGAATTTATGATTCTCTTGGGCCTTCTGTTTTCAACTAGTAATAATAAATTCCCGTATGCAGCTTGCAGCAAAGTTCCGTAATAGCGGACAAACATGTGTATGTGCAAATAGAATTCTTGTGCAATAAGGTTAGATAAACGAGATATCAAACTATCAATTTTACTGTTATAATACATTTTTCTGATCTGCCATCCTTATTCTAATTTGCCATCCTTAATTTTGTTTGACGGTAATGTGCTATTAGTGCTAATAATGATTCCCTACATTATTTGCTCAAAGTTCCTTCTCCTAACTGCTGTAGGATGTGGGAATTTGCCACAGCACATACTAGCTGGTTCATGTAATGTGTTTTATGAGACAACATTATAAATCTTTTCAGGAATTTTGGTTAGTATTTTGTAGCCTGTATTACCCAATCTTAATGATTGCAATTTCAGCAAGTGGTTGCTTATTTAATTGTCACATAGTTTTAACATGGAATTTAGAATTATTTCAGCAAGTGGTTGCTTATTTAATTGTCACACAGTTTTAAAATGGAATTTAGAATTGTTTTGAAATAAATAAAAATAAAAAATGCAAACTAGAGAACATAAGATAAGGAATTGAGGGAAATTGGACCCACTTTCTTATAAGAGATTTACCAACATTCTTATAAGAGATTTTCTTTAATCAGTAATGTTAATGTATCCCATTGATTATTTGCCCGTTTCTATCTCACACCAATTCAATGTCCATTTAGATACATTATTTGTTTCAGTTCTTAAGTTATTTGCATTTTATTATGTAACCATGTTTCTGTAAAGGTATATATGACAAGTTTGCAAATGCATTGCTTGATGCTGTTCAGAGTATGAAAGTTGGAGATGGTTTTAGTGAAGGTGTGGTTCAGGTAGTTAGCTTTTTAAATTTGATTATCTATTTTTCCGAGAATCCATTTTTCCTTTTTACCAACAATGGAAATTGCTTACCTTGCGTCTCCATATTTCCCTACTCACTGGCTGATTTTCGCAAATATTTAGCGTAGAGTACTTTTCGATGTGATAATTCCTATTTAGCGTAGAGTACTTTTCATTGTTAGGAATCATATTCCATAAATAAATGACTTAGATTTAATGCGACAATTGTTTCTGTCCATGATGATATGATTAGAAGAAGAAGATGAAGGGACACACAAGGAAAGAATAATAAAGGAAGAGGTTGGAATTGAAATTTGGGGTCTGAGTTTTCATGTATGATTAAAGAGGCTAAAGCCTTGGGGATGGCTCTCGGCGTCTCTTGTTTGAATGGGTAATATTTAATAGAAGTTACAGTTTGATGGTGTTTTGCTTTAAAGAATGCTATCATATTTTGCCGGAATTGTTGATGTTCAAATTTATTTATGGACTAATAAAAAATTAAAATTTGTATGTAGGGTACTAAACATATATTATTTAGAAATGATATTATCGAATTTTTATTCCTCTTGAAAGTTGATTGAACAAGTTGCATTGATGGATGCTAAAGAACCAATTTGAACTGATAGCATCTTGCTCTTTTTCGAAAATGCAGGATTGAAGAAGCTGAAGCACAGTGTGCTTTGTTGAACTCTGAATCATTATGCGTAAGCACTTGTCTACTTTGTAATTATCAGTTATTTTTGGGATACTAGTACTATTGCTGTTTGCTAATATCATGATTGTTGTCATTCATTGTTGAGAATTATAGGATGGGGATGGTATCTCATTGCCATGATTTTTTTCCACTCTCGGGGATTTACCTTGAATCTTTTATTTCATAGAAGAGCTACTAGTCTCAGAAAAAGCAGTTAATTTGTTCTTGGCTGAGTTAACAGCATTTGATTCTCCATGAGAGTGTTGGTTTTCCACTTCGCGTCTAATGGCACCAACAACACCAGGAAGCCATGAGTTATCAGATGGAACCAATACTGGATCAGAAGAATAGAAGTGAACAATCGTTGAGGATGCCGGCCCAGTTTCAGAAGCAACAGTTGCAACTTGATTTGATTTATCAGGAGATGAAGTACTATCCACATTATTACTATTATTTCTAGATAATTGAACCATTATGTCTCTGTTTCCAACAGATGGTGGGGAAGCTAAAGGAAACATGAAACTGTGGTGGATCTAAGCTTGTGATAAGGTGTTTTTTCTTCTTCTTTGATTCAGTTGATCTGTTGTTATGATTCAATATTTTTGTTTCTGAATGCTGTGAAATTAGTGTTGATGTTGGAAGGTAATGGTTGTGTGTGAGCAGTAGCATTCTCGGAGGGAGGTTATGGAAGGGGTTGTTTGGTGTATGGAAAAGGTGAGTATTGTATGGAAGGGGTTGAACAAATACTAATGCATAATATAGGAAAGGACGATACCATTTTACAAGTGATTGATGCTTATTTGAAGCCAAAATGCCACTCAGCTGATTCAGACTTTGTGCTCAAGTATGTTATTTAATTCATTGCTTCCAGTTCCTTTACTATACTCAATATTGATTGGAATTTAGAATATACTAATCAGAACCTACGAAAGCTATATGTTAATGGTAAAGTTTATCTGCTATAGTTCTGAATCTGGTTACTAATTAGATACGCACTTAAAATAAGAATTTGCAAAAATTTCTGTAGGGCTCATTCTCAGTATCCATTTCAACGTACTAAGCTCCATCATATATGCGCTGTATACTTCGAATGGCCTTCGGAGAGAACATGTACTTTATCTAATTTCAAATGCTTATTCTTGTAACTCAAGAATTTGTGCTCCGAGTCATGTCATTAGTCTTAGTCAAGAATTGGTATATGCTACCTCTTGGATGAAAATTTGGAAGTTGTTTGAAATGCTGATTGTTGGTTCATGAAATAGATGGATATATCCTTCCATGTATAGCCGAAAGGGATTTACGACGATTTGCCAATTTGCGATCAACTTCGTCTGAACTTGGGTTGAACCTTCCTTTACATGAGGTACTGCTAACTCTATTCCAATGGAAGACAGGTATATTAATTTGACGCATTTAAAGTTAAATTTTATGAGTATTATTTTAAAGATTATTATTTTAATACCTTTTTTTAGGGATTGGAATCACCCGCTGATGGTAGACGTTCATCTGAGTCTAGCTATCGTATTGGAGATAATGGAACTTCAGGGGGGACAAATTAGACTTTGCTATGATAGAGATAATTAGATTGTGAACTTTCTCATGTATTTTTGGCATAATGATACTTATTATTATAAGATTAGGAATTGATATATTTTGGGTTTTTTGTACTACTTGACATGATTATGGAACTCGCATTTTACATGATTATGGAACACACATTTTTTTGGATATTATAATGCTTATTTGATGTTAAATATTTTTTATTGAAATTATTTTTACTATATTACAAAGTGATAGAAAATAAAACAAAAAATAATACTATAAATAAATATATTAAAGAAGAAATAATTTAAAGAAAAAAATAACACAAAAAAAAACTATATTTAAAATTTTTTACATAGATAATAATTTAAATAAAAAATATATATAATAGAAAAATAAAAAAAAATCAAGACATAAACAAAAGTCATGGCGACAGTACCGAACCGTCGTAATCAACAAAAGTCATGACGGTATCGAACCGTCGCCATAAACAATTTAATCAATTTCAAAAGATATTCACGACAGTATCGAACCGTCGCCATCAATAATTAAAAGAAACTCAAAAGATAGTCACGACGGTATCAACCCGTCGTAAACTTGAACGACAGTTTTTGTAACTGTCGCGAAATAGGTTGGGGACACACACTTCTGCGACGGTAAAGCAACCGTCGTGGAAAGCAAATTGCGACGGTTTTAACCGTCGTAATCTACAAAAATACCTGTCGCAATCTGCCAATTTTCTTGTAGTGTCTCCTCTGTTACAAAGAATGTGGTTGCCCGCTTCATCAAGAAAAACCTCATATGCCGGTATGGTGTCCCCGACAGAATCATCACAGACAACGGAACCAATCTAAACAATACTATGATCACCGCTTTATGCGAACAGTTCAAGATTTATCATCACAATTCATCTCCCTATCGGCCGAAGATGAACGGTGCTGTTGAAGCTGCGAACAAAAACATCAAGAAGATCATTCAGAAAATGACAGTGACCTATAAGGACTGGCATGAGATGTTACCATTTTCTCTGCATGGATACCATACCACGGCACGTACTTCGACAGGGGAAACCCCATTTTCTTTGGTATATGGCATGGAAGCTGTCCTACCCATGGAAGTTCAGATTCCTTCTTTAAGGATTATGAAGGACGCTGGTTTGAATGAAGATGATTGGATTCATACCCGACTTGATCAACTCAATTTGATCGATGAGAAACGACTCACTGCTGTTTGCCATGGTCAGACGTATCAAAAACGGATGATCAAGGCTTTCAACAAGAAAGTCAGACGTCAAGTATATCAAGTCGGAGATCTTGTAATCAAGCGGATCATCTTGCTGCAAAGTGATCCCAGGGGCAAATAGACTCCTACTTACGAAGGACCATTTGTAATCAAGAGCATCTTTTCTGGTGGTGCAATGATTCTGACCACCATGGACGGCGACGATTTGCCACACCCTGCGAACATAGACATAGTCAAAAAATACTACGCATGAAACAAACCCGACAAGTCGAAAACCCGAAAGGGAGGCTTGGGAAAAAATGGGCATCCCGGTGAACCGAAAACCCGAAATGGCGGTCCAGGCAAAAATTAGGGATAAAACAAAAAATATGTACACCCGGCAAGTCGAAAACCCGAAAGGGAGGCTTGGGCAAAAAGGGGTTTCTCGGTGGATTGAAAACCCGAAAGGGCGGTCCAGGCAAAAGTTAGGGAATTAAAGCGTATGACTATGTCTCGTCGGATCACTTTAAGGAACAATCTCTTCATCAACAAGCTCCGAACTTCTGACCAATCCAATCATCGGCGGACGAAGCATTGAATAGAAAAGATATTCAGAGTTGTGAAGGCTATAGAAGAATGGAATCCCATGGAATTGTTACACATAGCCATCTTTCTTTTGTATAAAATTTTCAATTTTTACGACAACATCCTCTTACTAGGATGCCTGTCTCATTTGTACAAAGATACTCATGAAAAGTTAATACAAATACTTTTCCAAATACAGAAATTCGTTTTGTCTTCTTTTTGCTTTTCTACAATTATGTTTTATTTGAGAAACGTCCAATGTTTTGTTAAAATAGGCATATGCATTTGAACATAATCATTTCTTTACAAATCAAGAAAGATGATTACTGATAGGTTGAAGGTATAGATAGATATCTTGATTCCCTTTAGGAAGGAATCCCCAGCAGTTCTAAACTCTAAATCCATAGCTTAATTCCCTAAACAGAGTTAAACTTCAGGATCCTCAGCATAACAAAAGCTTTCTCAAAACTGATTTCCCCAGCCAGAGAGCCTTCTAGAACTCAATTCCCCTCAGATTTAAGTTTCAGTATCCCCAATGGAACCTTAAAAATCTGAAAATCCTATCCCCAGTTGAAGTCAAAACTGTCAATCCCCAGCGGAGCTAAAACTTCCAACTATCAATCTCCAGCGGAACCAGACTAGTGAACCTTCTCCCCACGAAGATACTTCCCGCCAGACTGAAGATTCTCAGTCTTACTTCTCCAGCATAAGTCTACCAGGTTCTGAACTCCCCAGTAGAGATCATCAGAATTCTCATTCCCTACAAGTCACCAAGGAGTTCCAATCCCCAGCAGTGGTCCTAAAATCCCTCAACAATTGAAGATCTTGTTCCCCGAGCAGTCAGCAGTCAACAAGGATATCGCAACTTTAACACTCAGATTCCTGCAATCCCCTGCAGCAGTCAATGATTCATTTTCCCCGGAAACACTCAAGATTTTTTCATCTCCGGCTATCCAGCTGGCATGGGCATTCATTACATTTATATCATAAACATTGATATAACATATATTGCATCATACATTTCATGCAACATAACTTTGTGTTTAGCTAACATTTTGTCCTTTTCAGGATAAGAATAAAAGGCTATCATTAACAATTATTCAGATACAGTTCTACACGGACTCATCATCAGGCAACCCTACACCGGTTCCTTATTCAATTTCAAGACTTCTGAAAACATTTTACGGGTTCTCCAGACACGGATGTTAACCTATCGCTTGTTCAGATGCAACTTCTGAAAATAGTTTACGGATTCTCCAAACACGGATGTTAATCTATCGCTTGTTCAGACTCAACTTTTGAAAACAGTTTACGGACGCTTCCCAACATGGATGCTGCTCTATTGCTTATTCAACTTCAAGACTTCTGAAAACAGTTTACGGGTTCTCCAGACACGGATGTTAACCTATCGCTTGTTCAGATTCTTCAACTTCTGAAAACAGTTTACGGATTCTCCAAACACAGATGTTAATCTATCGCTTGTTCATACTCAACTTTTGAAAACAGTTTACGGACGCTTCCCAACATGGATGCTGCTCTATTGCTTATTCAACTTCAAGACTTCTAAAAACAGTTTACGGGTTCTCCAGACACGGATGTTAACCTATCGCTTGTTCAGATTCTTCAACTTCTGAAAACAGTTTATGGATTCTCCAAACACGGATGTTAATTTATCGCTTGTTCAGACTCAACTTTTGAAAACAGTTTACGGAAGCTTCCCAACATGGATGCTGCTCTATTGCTTATTCAACTTCAAGACTTCTGAAAACAGTTTACGGGTTCTCCAGACACGG